CCTCTTCTAAATATGTTATGATTAGTTGGAAAAGAAAAATGTTACGGCAAAATAAATTAAATACTCCCTTTCAACATGGCGTAAAAGCTACTCCTGTTGCCAACCGGGTTTGTAGCCCAATTGGTTGGCCCCCAAACTTACGATTTAATGGTCGTGCGCCTCAAATGAGGGGGTGGAAGTTTCACCTTTCCTGGAAAAATTTCAACTGCTAACAAACTAACTCTACTAACTTCCTAACCATCTATCGGGTCATAAAAAAAAAAAAAAAGAAAGAAGAAGAAGAAGCTACTCCTATTATGTTAGGAGACCTTGACTTGGTGGCAAAAGAAAAAAAAAGAAAAAAAAAAGGTGACCTTGACTTCATAAGTTCATATCACCATCATACACACAGTTTGGAAAAAGAGCGAAAGGTTACCTAAACATCAGAGCCTCGCAATTTCATTTATGGATGTGAGTATGTGACTGGCTGACTTTGTAGCCAGAGAGACGTGTTAACGCTAATCTTTTACGGTTACACAACATTTCCAGGAAATTTCCTTATTAAATTATGTTCAAGCTATTTAGTTAAACTTTGAAAGGTTGCCCGCACCTGAACCTTAGAGTCAATTGGTGCACTCATCAGTTTAAGGTGCATTTTTTTTATAAATGAAATTAAAAATTATTCTTAAGTCATGTTTAATAGTTAAAAATTTAAAATTTTCACTTAGAGATATTAAATTTAAATTTTGAGCTAAATGAGGTAAGATCTAAGGAAATGAAAAAATTATTTTTTTTTATATAACTCATTCTTATCGGATTAAAAAAAAAAAGAAAAAAAAGAAGAAGAAATTAAGAATCTAAGCCATGGGCTGAATTTTTTTAATAAAAAATAAAAAGAAAGTCTAATTGATGATCTAAAATGGTAATGGCTATTTTATCTCTAAAAATCATCTCTAAAAATTATTACTAAATTATTTAAATAGTAAATATCTCTTTTAAAGTATCTTATGTTTAGATGTGTAAAAAATAAAAAATTATTACTGTGAAATAAATTAAATTAAATTACTCCCTTCCAACATGG